GTTAACCCTTCGCAACTGCAAGAAGATTTTGATTGTGATCAGTGAACGTTTCGAAATAGCGCTAGTTGGCGGGGTGGTGATGGCGCGCTTTTTCGGGCTCTGTACTGCTTTGTACCAGAGACGGCTTTTTTGAACGTCGCCCATTTCATGAGAACATTTAGGGCTCCCATAGATGTGACTTCGTCTCTATGGACTTTTTATTGAGAATCTTATCGTTCTATGCGCCCATAAAATTTTGACTTTACGACTTATGATTTTGAGTTATGAGTTACGTGCCATTGTGCTCCTCAGATTTGTGCTAAATAAAGCAAAACAGATTCTGATGTGTAATTTTTCCTGTGTTGGTCAGAAAGAATGCATGCATATCGTTATTATAGGTCGAGGCTTCTCATTCTTCCATCTTACTTACAAACGGGATCGAAAGTTTCCCAGCGACGCCGCCAATTCCAATTCTGAAAGATCACCTTGAAGTTGAAGCTGCAGCTCGAGTTGAACCACAATCCATGGAGGTTTCTTTGTTTGGAGCTGACAATGGCGAGCCTGAATCGAACGATTTTCACAAAATGGTCTTGCTCAATTATGGCAGTATAGATGGCCGTCTAGAAGACGACGAAGAAGAAGTTGAGGAAGAGGAGGGAAACGGCAAAGAAGTACCGCTCCCGAAAGAGTCTTCACCCAAAAAGGGGTCTAGGAAGAGCGAAGAAAAAAATTCATCTGATACGTCTAATCGTTGTGAGACTGTGGCGACCACTCCTGTTCGTGGACCGTTGTCGTCTTTAGAGGGTGGTTCATCTAGTGTTGAAGAGAAAATTGAAAAGTCCAGTCCAATGAGTATGGAAACGGAGGAAGTGAAACAGCCGCCGGCTCCCTTGAATTCCGGAAAGCGTGGCCCATATGAGAAGTGAGTTTTATATTATTTGACACAAGTGCAGTTTCCTTATTCCCGAATTTCAGGAAAGGTAGAGGAAGGCCGAGGAAAAGCCGAGAAATCATTTCTCCTCCCAAGACAGGGTTCGTTCAATCCCGCTTCTTCTAGCGTTTTCGCAGCATTCAGCAAAGCGAAAGATTATTTCAGGAGACCTCGTGGTCGTCCACGAAAGGATGGAGGTCATTCAGTGCGGAAGGTGGAACGGAAATCTGTTGAGAGGTACGTTGACTACTTATTCAGTCGATAGCATCGCAATCAGTCAGGGTGGTAAGGCGGAATGAGCCCGCCTCTAGCTGTCTTGCTCAACCGATGGTAACTGGTTAGTGACCTGGCTATCAGTTAAGAAAGAAAGCAAGTGGTGGAAGCCGCAAGGGTGGGCTCATTCCAACCCACAAAGACGCCCCTCTCCGAATGGTTGGAACAAAATCAATTGTACTTTTTTGGCATATTACTGTTTATTATCTCATCTAGCACTGAAAATAGTGGGCTACGGAGAGTTTAGACTTCGTACCTTTGGAGTCATGCTTGTCTTTCAGCGCTGTCTCAATGAATTACTGTAGTGGAAACTTGACTCCTTGAACTTTTGAACAGAAATCGCCAGCCATTCCACGGTAGAACAGTGTTTGAGAATGCGAGTGATTTGAGCGCAATCATAATCTCAGCGATTAATAGGGCGTATTGCGGGATCACGGCTTGAAGCGCAGCCAGAGCAGCTTTCTCACCACTTATGGCGGGCTCGGGATGGCAACATTTTCGGAACAAGGCCCCTGGCTGCGCTTCAGTATGCGCCGCTTCACATGCAATATCCTTCGCGATCATGACTAAAAAGGGAAAAGCAAAGGAAACTGTCGCAGAGATTAGGTGGCGTATTATTGGGCCCAGTATCTCTGAAAATATAGGTGCTGGTTCGAATTCTGCTGTGGAACATCGCTTGGTCTGCAATCCGGCACACTTGTTACATTGTAGAGAATTACACGCCATACAGGCTCAAAATCGCTTTTCAGAAAACTACATGAACGTTTGCAAAAACGACGACCGCGCCGTGCCGCTGCTATGATACAGGATTTCCTTGAATTCTACGCAAAAGTAGACCTGGCCGATCTTGAGTTTATCCATGCCAGAGTTTGTTTATTTTTCACGATTTTCAGCTATTTTTACCTGAATCAGAAAAGTTTCTTCGTTAATGCTT